AAAAAGACAAGCAAAATAAGTTTAACACAACACACACAACAATTTAGGAGCTGATGTATTTAGCTTAAAAATATATGTAGCGAACAGTTTGAGTATCTCTGTATTGTGACACTTAATAAACGCAACGCAAACAGCTGTGACAAGAAATAATAAAAGAAGTAACCAAAAAGAGCAAAAAGAAATGTGCAAAAATAGAAACGATCTCAGTTAACTACAAAGGAATTACAACAACAATGATAACAACAAATGACTCGGCAAGATTAGATGTATGCTAGTGAAATTTAATTAAATTTAATATAAACCACAAAAACCACAAAACTTTCACTTAGCTTCGATTATTATCACACTAAGATGCTCGTAAGCACTTTTTATAGCAACTTTTACTAGAATTAACACAATAAACTTTGCAAAATACAAAGGCAAATCAGAGCACAATATAAGTAGAACTTCACAGCTTGACGTTTGCTTTGGTCATGGTAAGTAACATAAAATAATGTCAGAAGAAAGTAATTATGTACCTTTGTACTATCTAGCATGTCATTTGACGGTAACAAGAGCAAATTCAATTTAAATCTATTAAATACATTCTAGCGTGTCTCAGTCCTTTACCCACAAAAGCGGCTATAACTTTTTTTTTCTATTTAAAACAGTAAGTGTGGTACCTTTCTGAAATCTTTATTAAATGAGAAATTTTTTTATGTAATGTAAAGTGATAGCTCTGTACAAGTCATATCAGATAGTCAAAGTTGGGGAAGAAAATATCAAAAAGTTAAAAATCCAGAAATAGTCCTAATTTTATGATGGTTCCTTAATATATTTTAATTACATTGCATTTGAGTATGGAGAGGCAACTATCTGGAAGTATTTTACATAAAAAATTGCCCGGTTTGTAGTTGCAGTTAAAGAAAACACCAGGAAAGGCACGATTTTTTTTAAATTCGAAAAATTTAAATATTTCAAAAACGGCGACACTTTTACCTGAAAATTTTTTGTTTATCAGGGAGCTCACCACAGACAAATTTTTTTTCCTACCATAACCAACCAAAACCTACCAAAAATTTTTTTGAGTTTTAAAATTTGTTTTCAATGTCAAATGTTTTAAAAACATAGTTAACATAACATTTAGTAGAACTAAAACACAACTAGATTAATAAAAACAAATTAACTGCGTATAATGATTCATTTTACTGTACAGACTTATCCATAAGTACATACGCACTAGATACGAATAGATACGCGAGCTCAAAAGTTGATAGCGAAAAAGAGAGGCGTACAAAAAATTTCGGCGAAGAAAGAGGGTAGCGCCAGAAAGGTTTCAATAAATGATGCGGCAATATGACGCGGTCATCGTATCGTTCGTTTAACCGTGCCCACGCCGTATCGTAAGACTTATCAGTAACTGGAATATGCAATAACATTTACGCGGCCTCTTCCTTTAAAAACGATTTCAGATAGTGGAACTTCTGCGTATTAGTGAGGTTAGATTTCATGGACAGCACTAACAAAGAGGCCTTTAAACGATAGTCACGCCCTGTACAGGCCCGAAAACGGCGGTATAATAATTTTTGGCAAGTCGTTTTCCTTGGATGCAGCTGCTTGTATGGGCTCCGCCGTGAACTGTTGCAAAAATGATGCTTGCTGTTCAACTAATTTCGCAAGAGAGACTGACTGCTCTTCTGTAACCAGTGGTTGCAACTCGTAAGGGATCAAGGGATCCCATTCCTACTCACCCCCATAACCACAGCGATGTATAAGTTCAGCAAAGAAGCGGATTATACAGATCCAAACGTGGAATTTGAAATATACGAAGACAAGGTTATGCCAGCATGTGGCCGGCTTCGCACATTGCCGTACGAGTTGCAACGACTGGTTACAGAAGAGCAGTCAATCTCTCTTGCGAAATTAGTTGAACGGCAAGCATCATTTTTGCAACAGTTCACGGCGGCGCACTATAGGCAAAACACGAGTTTTTTTCAAAATCGGAGCTCTTCTGTTAGAAAAGAGATAATGGAATGAAAATTTTTTTTACGTGAAGATAAATGATCATATAATGAAGAAAAACTACACTGAAGTTACAACAACAATAACTTAACCCTTAAAATACCGTTCAAAATGTCACTTTTTTTTAATTTTGGATTTTGGCTCCCATTCCACTGGAAAACGCTACACTTAATGCACAATTAGCATTGTTTCTGAAATATTTCTCTTTATTTTATCTTAAGACTCGTTTTTTGGGACATTGGATGCTGTACCCGAGTGACCAGATTGGAAAAAGGAAAGCTTCCTTTAAACTCTAATAACTCGTAAACTATCAGCTTTCACAAAAAATTTTATATAACAAAAATGGTTAAACTGGTTGATATCTTTACGAAAGTGCAGCATTTAACTCTTCAATGCAGAGTCTGTCATATATGAGACGCTTTTTAACCACTTCAAGGCAGAGGCAAAAGGTTCTCAATATGTTTTCAACGTACTTTTTATTTACTTTTATTTTTAATTTATTTTTTTATTTTTAATATTTTTATTTTTTTTTTAAATTTATTTTTCTTATTATTATTTTACTATGGGAAAATTTTCTCCGATTAATATCTACGTCAACATGTGAAAAAGAACGTTCAAAAGCATATTGTGAATATTTTTCCTCTGCGTTGAAACGGTTAAAAAGCGTTTCACATATGACAGACTCTGCATTAAAGGGTTAAATGCTGCACTTTCGAAAGGCATCGACCAGTATAACCATTTTTGTTATAAACATTTTTTTGTGAAAGCTGATAGTTTACGAGTTATTGGAGTTTAAAGGAAGCTTTTCGTTTTCCAATCTGGCCACTCGGGTACAGCATCCAATGTCCCAAAAATCGAGTCTTAAGATAAAATAAAGAGAAATCTTTCAGAAACAATGCTAATGGTGTATTAAGTATATCGTTTTTAGTGGAATGGGAGCCAAAATCCAAAATTAAAAAAAGCGACATTTTGAACGGTATTTTGAGGGTTAAGTTATTGTTGTTGTAATTTCTCTATATAGTTTTCCTATATTATATGATCATTTATCTTCACGAAAAAAAAATTTTCATTCCATTATCTCTTTTCTAAGTGAAGATCTACGATTTTGAAAAAAAAACTCGTGTTTTGCCTATAGTGCAGGCCCATACAAGCAGCTGCATCCTAGGAAAACGACTTGCCAAAAATTATTATACCGCCGTTTACGGGCCTGTATAAGGCGTGACTATCGATTAAAGGCCTCTTTGTTAGTGCTGTCCATGAAAAATCTAACATCACTAACACGCAGAAATTCCACTATCTGAAATCGTTTTTAAATGAAGAGGCCGCACAAATGTTACTGCATATTCCAGTTACTGATAAGTCTTACGATACGGCGTGGGCACGGTTAAACGAATGATACGATCGACAGCGTCATATTGTCGCATTATTTATTGAAACCTTTCTGCCACTACACTCAAACATTAATGAGGATGTTAATATTACATTTACATTAACCCAAATGCGTCATTTGGGCGAGAAATCTGAAATGCGAAGCTAAATCACGCATTTCCTCATACAAATTCACATTTCCAAAATGACGCATTACAACGCATTTAAGCAAAATCATGAACGAAATGCGTTCCAACATGACATATTTTCTCGAACGCATCAAAAAATAGTAGCCCTGGCAAGGCTTTTGCTTATTTTTGACACTTGTCAATCGAATGTCTACACAATTAATAAAAAATCTGGAACAATCAAAAGTAAACGGTTAGTATTTTCATTTGAAATATTTTATATAATAAATAAAAAATATGTTCTTACAAACATGTTTAGTAAATGGAGAGTGCAAAAAAGAAAAAAACTAATTGGTCGCCGTTTGCGGAGGAGATGCTGCTGGAATTATGGGAAGCAAATATAGTGGACCTGCGTGGGGCCAGGAAGAACGGCCACATCTTTAAACAGATGGCAGAATCCCTTAAAAACGCTGGAGTGTGTGTCAGCAGTGAGGAAGTGCGGTCAAAAATAAATAACCTCACTGGGAAATATAGGTAAGCTAACTATTATATATAATATACTGGCGTTAAAATGTATATCTCTTATGTTTACAATTGCTTTCAGGAAAGAAAAGGGGAATATTGGTGTGTCAGGTGGATCACCATCAGACTGGCCACACTATCAGCGAGTACATGCCATTATAGGTGGTTTTAAATGCAATAACATAGAAGAACTTGTTGAAGAAAGTGTATCCATAGGTATGTATATGAAATTGATCATTTATTATATATGTGCGTATTTAATTTAAATACTTATGTACAAACACAATTTCAGAGTATTTATTTAACACTCCATCGTCGGAAGTACTGGACATTTCTGGGGCTTCCTGCTCTGACTCCCTCGCTCCGGTAGAGGTCGAGTGTGCTGGATGCTCCAAATCGAAAAAGCAGAAGTTAAACGCAAGTCTCATAACGGAAATTCAAGAGACGAAAGAGCTAATAAAAACAATGCATCAGGAAGAGAACGTTATCGATTCAAAATTAGTTAATATAGAGGAGCGACGGAATGTTTTGTTAGAAGAATTTGTAAGCGATTCTAAAAAGTTTCAAAACTCACTCTTACAAATTTTAAATAATAAAAATCATTAAAGACAGTGATTAAAAAAACAAATTAAATTTAGTCCATTACTAATTCATTTATTTTCAGAGCAATAATAGTAATTGTTAAAATGTAGATTATTTTTTTCATGTGAAATAGTTTACAATAGATAAAATAAAGTAAGGGATCCTGCTTAATACTAACATTATAAATGCGAAAGTTTGTATATTTGTGAGTTTGAATGGATTTGCTTGAAATTTGGCAGGTAGATAGTTTATTACCTGGATCAATATGTACTTAGTTGCAACATATAAGAGTTGCGTCGAAAATCAAGCGGGTAGTGGCTGTCTAACTGTTTTAACAAAAAACATAAATAAATAGATATAAATATGTATAAATAAATAATAAATAAAGATACATAGAAATTTATGCTTACCTAAGAACATTGCTATAGCAGATCTTATATTTTCCGCTGTGAGGTTATTATCAGTCAGGGTACAATTAAACTCCGGCTGCGGTCGGACTACGGTTTCCTCCTGCTCCCGTAATTGTTGCATCCAGCGATTGTTTATGCAATCGTTTTTCTCGTTTAAAAAATTATGTAAAACACAAGCACATTTAATTATTAAATTTACATTGTCAATTCGGTTATCAAGACCTTTTCCTCTTCTTCTAAATCTAGCTTTGAGATGACCAAATGCATTCTCGACTACCCTTCTGCACTTAGACAGGGCATAATTAAAGTTTTTTTCACTGAAGCTAGCATTCTCTCTATATGGATAAGGTTTCATTAATATGTCCGAAAACCGAAAAGCTGAATCTCCAAGCATTACAACTGGAACGTTAACTCCGTTTATTTGCGTAGACAAGTGCGTAAGGATAGGGTTTTGATGATGCTGTTTCAAAGCAGATTTCTCGAAAATGTGGGAATCGTTGCACCGTCCAGGGGTGCCTACGTTTATATACATAAATCTGTACCTATAATAAACAATGTGAGCATTTACTTTTTAGGCATATATTCAATACCAACCTATAATCCACTGATGCAAGTAATACTGTGGAGTACCAGCCTTTGTAGTTATAGTAGTCAGTTGCGTCACTAGACCGGGGACGAACTTCAATATGACAACCATCTAAGTATGATTTACGTAAATACAATGCGTCTGTATGAGTATATTTTTAAAATTTACCAACAGCGCTGATACATTGGGGGAATCCCAATTTTCCAAAACCATTCACACATTCTCGAACAGTAGCTTCACTCAGAGGATACTTATTAAGGTACGTAGGTTGCATTACCCTCCATACTTCCTTGCAAAAGTCCTTCAGAATCATACATACTGCTGACTTGGAAATACCAAACAGATTTCCTATAGTTCTGTATTCTGCGGAAGATCCCAGAGTATACACCGCGACTGCAATCCTTTTATCTAAAGCAATTGGTTGTCCAAAATTTGAAGCTTTTTTTTTCATATTTCGCATGGCCATAACCAATTCGTCAAAAGTTTCTTTTTTCATTCGAAAATTTTCTTTGAAGAAATCATCGTCGCTCTCTGGAACTTCTTGTTCCCAAAAACTACTCTGACGAGGCTGAAAATTGGGTAAAGTTATAATATTTCTTAATACTTGTGTTTTATTAAATTTCTGTTAAGAGGACTTGACTCTTGCAAAACTAGTCAAAAGTTCTCAGCCTTTCTTTTGGTGCGTATAACTCGGCAGCTCTAGTAAGGTCGCAGCGCTATTTGCTGTAATAATTATATTAAATATTTTACCTTTCTCCAAAATCGCTTGCGGCGTTTTTGCCTTCCACTGGTCAGCTGCACCAACATGTTCAGGTGCATAAGAAATCTCTTTTTTTCCGCCCTTATCCGCAGCCGCTTTTGTTTATAACAACTGCTGGATTGCGCAAGAGCTTCAACTCCAGCTTGCATTTGAATCAGACGATTCAATTCGGCAATAATAACCGAATTTACCAAATTTAATTCCATTTTTTCCCTTTTTAAAAATGTAAATAATATAAAACAGACGTTTAAAATTAACTGTCAGAGGAAATGCGAATGAGAAAATGTAAACGACTTTTAAATGACTCATTTGAAATGCGCATTTGGGCTCAATGTAAATGTAATATAAACCTTTACGCTAAATTTCAGTTAGTGCCAAAGAAGTTATATGAGGTTTGGATCAACTAAACTTCGAAAAAAATGGACTAGGCACCTGTTCACCTTTAGGTAGCGATATAATTTATGACGTACTTGGACCAAGATTCCAGAAAGGTCTGCCAATGGGCTGGTACTCAACCATATTTCAGGTGGAAGTCTTCCCAATTGAAGTCTGTGTTCGCGAATGTCATCGTAGAAGGCAAATGAGGCCAGAATAAATATTATGTCGGACACCCAGGCAGCGTTAAAGGCCTTAGAGTCTTTTAAAACGGAAGGAAAAGGATACACTGCAGACCTACTTAGGAGCTAGCTGGGAATAATCTAAAAGTGCTGCCTACTAGCGGAAGTCAAAGGGAATAAGACAGTCAAAGACATGTTAATTTGTTTTTATTAATCTAGTTGTGTTTTAGTTTTACTAAATGTTATGTTAACTATGTTTTTAAAACATTTGACATTGAAAACAAATTTTAAAACTCAAAAAAATTTTTTGTAGGTTTTGGTTGGTTAATGTAGCAAATTTTGGTGGGAAAAAAAATTTGTCTGTGGCAACGCTGACTACTTGTGATATGGTTATGGATACACCTACATTTACAAACATGAGCTCCCTGATAAACAAAAAATTTTCAGGTAAAAGTGTCACCGTTTTTGAAATATTTACATTTTTTCGAATTAAAAAAAAAATCGTGCCTTTTCATGTGTTTTCTTTAACTGCAACTACAAACCGCGCAATTTTTTATGTAAAATAATAAAATGTACTGAGCTATAGCTTTGCATTACATAAAAAAATTACTCATTTAATAAAGATTTCAGAAAGGTGCCACACTTACTGTTTTGAATAGAAAAAAAAGTTACAGCCGCTTTTGTGGGTAAAGGACTGAGACACGCTAGAATGTATTTAATAGATTTAAATTGAATTTGCTCTNTTACAGCCGCTTTTGTGGGTAAAGGACTGAGACACGCTAGAATGTATTTAATAGATTTAAATTGAATTTGCTCTTGTTGCCGTCAAATGACATGCTAGATAGTACAAAGTTACATAATTACTTGCTTCTGACATTATTTTGTGTTACTTACCGGAATTA